ACGGAAGTGGGTCTACCCAGAAACGCATCGGCCAATCATTGCGGTGATGTTTTTAAGTGACATTCTAAGGAATCTGAGGCGTCTGCTTTCCCGCAAAGCGCTTCGGAGAGCACATTGTTTCAATCTATGATGGAAGATGTACTTCGTTTAGGATTGAGTCCAGACGCAGCCAACGCTACGAGTGAATCAAATCACGCCCCGTCGAAAGCGCATATCACTCGGTTTTTTCCTAATTATGATAGATTTAGCGGTGACGGAACACTTAGAGAAACATGGCGAACATCATAATGCTTGATTGGTTCCGTCAGCTCTTTGATTGGTCCCATCAGCTATGATTGGTCCCATCAACTCGTAGCGTAGTCTACGTCTGGTCCTAAGGTAAAACGAAGTATGGGCGAGTGACAATTACTGAAAATATGTACGCACCTAAAAAGACAGTTTGCGCTGTTACACTGAACCTGACGTTAAACGTTCAGTCTAACAGCGCACATTCTCTTTTTATCTGTGAACATATTTTCTGCCTCGCAATTCACCGAGCCCCCTGCAAAGATTGCAAGGATTAGCTATCCCAAAGACTTTTGAAACAAACTACAGGCACCATATTTCTTCGAATGCAGAAAAGCGCCCCCATTTCCATTGCATATGATGTACGCGCTATGGTGGGCATGAGGGAGAGGTACGACTGCGGCGCGAGCGGAAGAGGTCCCGTGGTTCATGCCTACTGAGCGGGCATAATCCGAATTAGACACCCAGCGCGACCTTCAAAAAACTACTCCGTTCACCAATTAGCTGACAAAGTGGTGGAGGCTGCGTGCTCGTTGGACCAGTGAACAGTCGGTCTTGCACCACGTGATTATAGAGGACAAAACGGGTAGGGGACGGTGATAAAATACATACAATCAATTGGTCCGGCGAGAACGAAGCCTGCGCCGCCCGGTCAGCTTAAGGGCTGTCAAATCATCCAAACAGAACACTCTAAGAACACGTGAAGTCATATATCTCCGCCATATAAAGTGCAGCTATCTGCTTCCGCCCGGTTTGTTTATTTATTATGATTATTTTAATAGTAAGTTTGTTTGTTTATTTGGTTTTTGCCTCCGTCTGTTTGTGTCGTTTACGTAGGTGTAGAGCTTGCTCGTCACGGGGGCCCAGACAGTCACTAACACGCTCTGTTGTCGGTCAGTCAATCACTCGAGGCCTCCGCTGCTATTCAAGTACCGAAAACAGGAAAGGGAAGGATACGAGAGCACTGCAGAGCAGATGGACACGCAAAGGGGCACGCCATTGGCACGTGGCGTGTGATGTCAAGTCTGACAAGTGCAGACGTCACAAAAAAGCAGAGAAGTCTGGGAGGAAAGCCGTGATACATGCCTGTTGGATGTCCGCACAGAAGACTGACTGGCGGACTTCAACTTTCACTTCATGTGGCGGACACGTGTCGCTTGCCACCTTCGGAAGTTTTCTGTTTGGACACCCCTTAAAAGGGGTCGCGGACAAGCAGACACTCTCTTTGCCGAGAGGGAGACAGTGCAGTCGACGGTGAAAGGGCGAGAATAGGGAAGTTTCGTATATCGTACTGGCCTACTCCGCTACGCTCTCCGCAACAAAGATGCCGTCAGTGCGCATGCGCGCCTCTGGCCGTGACTGCAGAGTTTCTGATCTCGTATTAGGGTGCAGAGGACATCGCGGGACGCAAGAAACAACCTACAAAAGCTCGTTATTACTCGGAATCCCAAATACAGCGCAGAGTGCAGTTGGGACAGTGCAGCCAAACTTCATGATAGTGACACTGAGGCGTGGGGCGAGGGAACACTCTCGGTAGCTGGGAAACGTGAGTGATCGCCATATGTCCCCCTCCCCTTTCTTCTCCTTCCAATCTCCCTCTAGCCTACTATAGACGCGCTGAGCCAGCGCTGCGCTAGAGTTCCAGTATTGGCTCCCTACGGGAGCCTGAGTTGTACGTTCATCCCCGGTGGGTTACCGTAGCTCCGGCTTTCCTGCACAGCGCTAAATTCTTTGCTCTTCACGTGATTGATCTCGACGAATAGCGACGCAGCTGCGCGTGGAAAACAGACGCGGAACTCTAGCTCCCTAGGGAGCCTGTACGGGAACTCTACTCTGCGCCACTCTGCGCTGCGCCTAGGGGGAGCGCGCCCTGGCGGCAAATAAACTGCGGAACCATGGCGACGCCCACAGGATTGAAACCCATGTTCACGCCGAGTACTAAAGCAAAATTTTTGTTCGATAAATGCTCAGAGCGCATGAAATAAGAGTTAGTGAAGTGTCGAGCTGTTTGGTGAACGGTCATACTGAAGAACTCCAAAGTCTTCGAAACGGAAAGAAGGCAACCTCAATGCCGTTTCAAAAGACGGTAGTCGGGTTGTATTATTTTTTATGTTGTCTTCGGAGGTTTTGAACGTGGTAAGAGTTTCTATCTAAAATGCTGTGGATTTAGATGACTGGCGCATAAGCTGCTAGCTGGTCCGCCCTTTGAAAGAAAATAAGGGTCAGTTATAATGTGGAACCCGTGAGGCGGCCATTCATTACTACTCTCACGTTGTAGCGGTCTCTTTATCCCCCTTAAATACACACTCCCTCGCAAACTTTCGGTTTCAAAGAGTGCCTCGGAATCCAATTTCGTACTTCAAAACAAACCAGAGAGCCAACGGCTGGAGGCCCGTTGTTTAACTTGCCGGGGACGCACCCAAACCTCCACAATGTCTCTCCTCTCCGACGTTTCGTTTACGCCAGTATTTTTTCGCCAACGAACGCGAGAAATTCCCGGGTGGGGCATCTTTTCGCGCCACCGAAAGCTTTTGTTTTCACCGACCTCTTGGGCGCGAATTGTGCGCACGTGCAAGTAAACACCTCTCCAAGTCCCTGCAAGTCTCGAATGGGTCCCGAACTAAGAGCGGGAGTAAATTATCGTAGATCTCATCGGCAGAAGATCCAGGCTATTTTCGAGGCTGTCTGCATTCGCGCCACACTTAGCTAATGAAGTGCAGCGTGCCCCTTCCCCCGAACGTTTGACTGTCTTGGCTCGTCGGACCAGACTACGGCAATTAAAATTCCGTCTCAAGGCGCTCCTAATATTGCGTACGCGCACGATGAAGACAGAATCGATTGGCGCGCCGGCAAAGAAGATACGCAATGTTTACTTTTCGTAGTGTTTTTTTTTTATGTGAAAGCGCGCTAAGGGACATCAAGGAGCATTGTTAAAATGGCACGCGTAAGAAATGGTCATCTTGTGTGCTTTCAACACTCGGGATTCTTTGAACTCTCCTACGGGCCGATTCAAATTCGTGCATTATGCAGGGAAATGATTCGTTTGTTCTCGCCCGTCAACAATTTAATAAAAACGTCAAGATTTCGGGCGCCCCATTCTGTTTTAAGTCATTTGGAACATGTTTCGTCTCGCTCTGTGTCATTCTGCAGATGCTACTTGTTATATGTATATCACGTATTGTTTTATTTTTTTACTAGGAACTACTTGGCAAGGCTATTTCGTTTGCGTAAGAAGCTTAAATTCGCTTACGTAAGAAGCTTAAATTAAGTTTTGATTCTTAGTTTGTTTAGAACTACACGCTTGACTTCATATGCTCGCAACGTCTGTTTTATATTGACTTAAAACAAAAGAAACACACAAGAGGGCGAAACAGACGTTGCTTCGTTTTGCCCTAGTTCCCCTTGAGTGACAGACACCAACGACCGACAACTACCAACCGCAAACACTTGAGTATGTACGGAAATGTATCTCTGTCAGGCTTGCACTTTCTCGGTGCCCGTCAACTAAGCTCGAGTCATTGCAAGTCTGTCAAGAATACCATCGTCATCATCCTGCCTAATTATGAGGTTGGTCGATTTCGGTTGTTGCTGTCTCTTACACAAACTGGACGAGGGCTTTTGAAAGAAAAAAAAAACATTTCAGAGTAAAATTAAAGCAATTTTTAAAAGATCTCAGCCGGTGTTTTTATATAGCAAAAGAAGATATTGCTGACATTTTTTTTTTTTGTTCACTCCTGCGCAAAACAAAATAGAGTATTTAGCGCAATTCTGCGAAACTTCTTTGAAAAGAAAATAACTTTCAGTCGTATTTGGACGCAAAAATGTTTTTACATGCGTTTAAATCAGTTAAAAACATATATATGTTTTTCGCCGAAAGAAAATATCCAAAATCACATCATGCTAAAATGCATATCAAGAATTCGCACCAACAAAATTTATAAAGCTACAAGAGAACAAACACAATTCATGAAGTAGGGAACCATCGACCTCAGCCGGTCCGGTGCTTTCATTCTATTACGGCGACATATTCTTCGACAGTTTCAGTTTTACTTTTAAAATAAACGCGACGAAAGTTGCGAAGCCCTTGACGAGTGTAAAAGGAAAATTGCGAATTAGTTTTCCTAAGTTAATTCAAAAGTCTGATGACTATATTTTGATGTATATATTCACGTTGTTTCGTCACCTGCCACTCTAAATTAATTAGATGCAGCTTGACCCCTAAAGGAAAGGAATTTGAAGCTGTATCTCAATCTCTATTGATCAGACCGTCATATGCAGAATTCTGTTTTATGAGAAACGCGCGGTTGACGTTACTGTCCAGTTTCGATTTTCCTGGCACGCAACGCCGTGCCTTTTAGTGTCGCCATTTTTTGATTTTGTACTTATTATTTTTGTTTTGTTTTGTTCCTGAAGCTTTTTCGAGGCTAGAAAAGTATTTTCAAAGGCTCTCGCAGCGTCTCGGCGTCTTCTTTGTTATATTTTCTGTTTTTTGTTGCTGTTATTGCGGATGTTGTCCTGTACTCGCTTGGCAGCTGGCCAACTCCCACTGCGGTACGGGACGCTCTCGACTCGACGCTGCGCAATCTGAGTTTACTTCCGTAAAAAACGCACTTCTGCATTATACAAAAAAAATACACTTAAATAGATTAATAATATGTGCTCATATGCCATGCTGAGGGTGTTGAAGTTACTCACGATCGTCTCTCTGTGCGCAGCTTTGGTACGACTTCGAGAACTACTGCTGCTGTCTCCGGCCGAGGGTGCTCTTTTCCGGTTACGGCAACGCTCCCCTTTGGAGGACCTGCGCAAGGTGTTCCGTGAGGTTGGACGCAGAGGGGAGTCTAACCTGATGCTGGACGTGCCCGCAGGACACCTCAGAGAGTACCTATTCCAGGTGGGTTGCCTAAGATGGCCTGCTATCATCAACATAACGACGGACATCGTTCCGCCATCAGACTTTCGCATACTTTCGGAACTCGCAGCCTTCTGCTTACAGTTTAGTGAAGGTTAAGAATAACAGAACATGCTCGTCCCACAAAGCCCTACCCGCATTCCCCTTTTTCAGAGCGAACGCTGGAAGGAAAGCGAGTCAAAAGGAGGAAACCATCAATCATGGCAAACAGAGTTTTATGAGAGGGGCTTGGCCTGCTATTATTAACCTGCAGCAGACTATGACGCATACACGTGTGAGCAGCTTGCCGTCTTTTGTGCCACGGAGATTACGATGATTAACGCCTTCGGGGATCGGATGTTTTAATTGTAAAAGTAACAAGATATTCATTGATAAATGGAAAAAGTGCGGCCATCTTGCCAACGCCACCTAGTTAAGGTAAAACTTGTCCACATATTCCTAGCTGGTCTTGCAGCCCAGCTACGTTTGTTTCACACATGTTAAATGGGCGGTCGAATGATCCTTAAACTTTTATTGGAAAATACAAATTATGTATAACTTAAATTCTGATCTTATTCTTTTTTACTCAACAGAACTCGTCTTCTAGCTCGAAAATGTGGCAGTATATTATGCGTGGATTCGGAAAGCAGCTATAGCCTTTCTTTAATTTTTGGTTTTAGCACAAGCTTTGTATATATGTTCAATGAACTATAGTATAATTATTGGTAAAGAACTTGGTAGAATGTTTCTAATACATTCGAGAAAATTATTGTCTGCCAGTTTTGTTTACTTTTCACCAATGAAGAAAAAAACAACAGGCTCAATTTTGTATATCTTGTACTTAAAATCGTTTTTGCGCAATATACGTCAATAATTACAAGAGATATATTTATTTATTTATTTATTTATTCATTTATTTATTTATTTATTTATGATAGTTAATTCTCTTTTGTTAACGTTTGTGTAAGCATCTTGCCTAAACCTTGGTTCGGTACATTCAAAGTGAAACCAAAACGGCGAGCTCGGAAGAGGGTGGTGAAGCTGGTAATTAGCTGAGACGACGGTTGGCTGCTTTCTGAAGTTGCTCGTGCACGTCCTTAACCGGAAAAGGTTGAACTGAAAAAGTAGAAGCGACACGAAAATGCTCTACTTTTCCCGAGTGTGGTGTGGGTAGTAGTTGGCCCTCTGGAGGTCCGCTAAGAACTGAATGTAACGTTTTTTTATGACGGTCTGAGTACTGCTTTCCGCATAATTTGGATTTATTAGGTTAGTTATTTTTAAATCATATGGCACTAAACGAAGTTCGGTCAGTTGTTTCGAATTTATTTTAAAATAGATTTACTTATTAAAATGTTCCCCGCTTTTGTATTAAGTTGAAACCGAAACTACATGCGATTAACGTGAAGTGGGTGCGAATTCCCTCGCTGATAACGTGGTTTTTGACGTCGCGAACTGTTGGTATCGGAAAGATTATTTTTATTTAAACATATATTTACTTCCTATCTCTTCAAGCTTGGAAAGGTATCGTGACAGACTAATTACCTCACCCGAGCACTTCTTGTACCTGTGAATAGGACAACATTTACGGCTATCCTTGTATTTTGTTCAAGTATTTTTACAGTAACATGCTTAGTGCTCAAAGAGCCGAGGAGACTTAGAACTGAAGAGAATAATTTTTTATTCCCTTTTTATATTATTATTAATAAAACAGTAAATGGCTCGTTGGTTTAGAAAAAAAAGCAAGGAAAATGTTTAAACGCATGACCAAGTATGCACATATAAATTGTGCATTCTAATTGTGTCGTGAAGCAGAGTGCTTTCAAGCAATGTTGCATGGTCTTCAGGTTAAAAAAGTTAATGTTTCCAAGTAGTCAGTAGGTCAACAATGCATATTGCCGCGCGACAAGTAGGTAGCGCGGCCGTAGCCTAACGGTTATCGCGCTTGCATCCCACGCGAAGGGCCAGGGTTCGATTCCTGGGAGCGACGTGTCTTTTGTTTATCCCTGCATTGTAGTGTTCTGGCAAATTCGAGAGTCCTGGTGCTTGTTCGAGGTGCGAATGTTCGACGCGTCGAACTTTTCACGCCGATTATTCCAGAAGCCCACGCATGTACATAAGGGGCTCCGCCTGGCAAGCCGAGTCAGTTTCGCCCCAGCGTTCGACTCCGCTGCTACGCCGACTTCGACGCCCGCGACGCTCTGTTATTATCTTTTGTAAACTTTTATTTTTGGCACAAGTTCGCCACATTAAACGTTTATTTCTTCCTTTTTATTTCCTGTTTTTTTTGGTCACCACCCGTGACAGTATTTTACGGCAAAGCTAGGGTTAAATTTTCGAAGTTTCGCTTCTAAAACGGTTTGTTGTGCTCTGGTATCCGCGCCAACTGATATTAACAAGGGTACCCGATGATTTGACGGCTCGCACGTGGAACTAGCATCTCTCAATGTAAATCTATGAGATTCTCTTGTCAAAATGATGATTGCCCTGTCTACTTTATCAATAATTTTATCTTCCTTTTTGTGTCCTTTTATAAATACCTCGGCGTTAACATAACTAATGACCTCTCCTGGAATATTCATGTCTTCTTCAGTATAACAGCGCTAATCAAATATTGGGTTACGTCCTAAATAATGTTTTTTCTTGCCCCCGTTTCACAAATACTGGTTTATAAAATATTTAGTCGTACTAAATGTAAATTTGAGATTTTAATCTTGCATCTGCAGTAGAATTTAGCCAAAATCGCTCCGCTCGTTTTATATTTGATAGCAATTCACACTATAGCTAGCATTACCGTCTATGAAAGCATCCCCATCCCTGCATAATCACTTTCTCCATAAAAGAATACCTCGCCTCTGTTTCACAAGGTTTGGCACGATAACCCAACACTTCGCCACGCGCTATTTTCAAAGCCATCTTATCTACCGTCAGGCACCAATCATCAACTAGAGGTTAGGATTTCCCACTGCGGCACATCTACTTCTTATATCTCCTTCTTGCCTCCATTGATTGGAATCGATTTTCTTCAGTCATATTTACAGTTACTAATATTGCTGATTTGAAAGTTTTAATTACTAATTTGTTTAATAAAATTTCGCACTAAAATATGTTACTTTTTTTTCTTTTTATTGCTTTTGCATTTATATTTATGTCATAGTGCCGCCTCCTTTTTGTAAGGCGTACGGGTCTGAGATTAAAGGAAATGAAAGTATAAATGAAATCAGAGCACAACTGCACTATTTTGTGTCTCAGATATGTATATCGGCCCTGTAGCAAATTCACTTGATGCTTTGATTACTCAAGAACGTGCCAAAGCAATAGGCGACAGTGCACCTGTTGCTTAATCCTGTGCCGAATTCAGTTAATGTATAATGAAATCATGACCACGTGGGAACCAACTTTCTTACCTCGACTGCTGATGCGACGCTTGTGAGATCCCGTCGATCGCCGTTGATTGTTCATTCAAGAATTTTTGTACTCTTGTAATCGCACTACTTGCCTCAACGGTGGCTAGTTGTTTATTTACGCAATAACAGATTTTCATCATTGGTTGTGGGCCAATCGTTTTCGCGGTTTTGCAGATATACCGAAACACCGACCTTAAGGTCACGTATGTATCTAATGTGATAACTGCTATTTTTAAAAAAATGCAAATCGGCGGAATTTTGAGGCACAGCACTGCACTTCTGTATACTGCTGTTTTCAGACAACGTTTCGAAACTAAAAACTTTGTTCTCTCTTTTCTCGAAATTGTTTTGACTGACAGTTTTTGAAGCAGAGTTTGTGACACTGTTCCCCTGTTAGCACTGAGGGTCGTCTTTTGTTGGCCCTGAAGAAAAAAATGTATAAGCTCTACAATTATTTTCTGTTTCCGCTGCTTGCGCTTCACAAGGCAGTGAGTGCTAGTTCTTGCACCCACTTACCCCCCTTTCCCCCTCCTCCGCACTTGTCTTATGTTCAAGATCTACGGCCGTGCCTTCGTTCCTTGCACCTTCCGATGTGTTTTGTTTATTCTTACGCATTCGAAGAGGCAGCTAAAAAACGTTAGGACGTAAGTGGAGAGGCAACGTCAAGGCAACAGCAGCTTGCCGCCCCAGCAACTGTAGCGCAAAGTGTTGCTTCAAAACCGAGCATTTTTTCGCTCCGGCAACAGGGATATTGAGATATGAATACTTTAAACCATCTTGACTGGCATCGCTGCCTCAGCATGAACTTCGGTGATTAGAGAGTCCTGAAGACTCTTTTAGAGCGCAGCTTTTAGGTACCCGTTTCCGGCTTCAGCGGCGTCGTCGTCAACGTGACTGCGCGTTGCATTATGGGACGTTTCCTTTTATGACATCACACGTGACGTCCCGAGGGTCACGAGTGACGTCACCAAGGTCGCTAATGAAAGTCACGACCAAGGTCACGACCCTGGCAGTGAAGTCACCTGAAGGTCACGACCTTCACGAGTGATGTCACGGGGGAGGACGTAGAGAGGGAGGGGAAGGGGAGGAGGAAGGGAATGGCAGGGGAGGAGGAGGAGGAGGGGCGTACCCCCCTCTCCGGACCCTCCCCTCCTCCTCCTCAAGAGCTGCGCTCTAATTCGGCATTACAGGGAGTAGTAAACGTCTTTCATTTTTAGATTGTCACTCACGTCTTTTGACGTTGAATACATTTGGAGTCTGGGCCTGTTTGCTGATGAATGAGGGTATCTCTCCCGGGAGTTATAATAGCTGCAAGAGATCTTGAGATCACTTGATCCGATCGGTTTTGGGGGGAACGAGAAACTAAATGGACTTATACTTCGATTTCCCTTAAGTCCAGACGGAGCCGACGCTATGAGCTGGTGGGACCAATTAGAGAGAGTCAAAAGAGCACCGTCATGGTGTTCGTCATGCTTGTGTACGTGTTCTATCATGGCTAAACCGATTATAAACAAAAAATGCGTGGTGACTTGCGCTTTTGACGTTTCTTGATTGGTCCCATTACCTCGTCAGCTGCGTTTGAACTTAAAGGGCGACTGG